AGAATATACCTATACAATGGCTTCCGCAGAAGCACGTAGTACGACATGCCAATAGAAGCGAAACAAACTCCATACAGATCAGTAGGACAGGGATCTGTGCGTCGTTATCGTACAATTCTAACTTAGACAAAAAAAAAAAAGTTACTAAAGTTGTATTGTGCTTCCGCGATAAATGTTATATGAGAGATATCAAGCCTACAAGCAAAGGGTGCACGTTTGGGTGCAGTCGATAAAATTGTTCACGTTTTCATGGAGCTTTTTTCGCTTGGATAAGTATGTTGATTAGTATAGCTAAGGTTAGATGGCAAAAAGTAACCAAAGTCGATAATAAATGGTTGCTGATTTATATGCATATTTAAGATGTTTTAAAAAATGTCCGTTTCTCAAACAATGAAATACTGTGTAACGCTGAGCAGTAATTTTAATCTCTGCTCTAAATACGTGCAGGAACACACTGCTTCACTATAGCAGAATATTTTATCAAAAATAAATAAAAATCTATAATTGTAGTCCTATTTCTAACAACTAATTCTCTAGGCTTGACCTTTAACATAATTAATCTCAGCATTAATAATCCAAAACGAGGGATTGAACCATTTCTGTGGATTTTCCTAAGAAATCTTATATATATATATATATATATATATGCAAGGTCGTGCATTGAAAATGGGAGAAAATTTGGTAGATTATTTGTCGTATTGCTTCATCCGCTATTCCTGGTACTAGAAAAAAGGCATTTTTTTAGAGCAAAGCAACAAACTCGTCATGGGCAACAACAGTGTGGTGTTGTCAAAATTTAAGAAAAAATCAGCTATTACCCAATCCCTCCACACTGAAAAAACCTTCACCAAGGCTAATGATTTACGTTTTTTTTTCATATCGACAGTCTAAATTATTGCAGGGTTTCGCGCAGCTCTCAAAAAAGGCCTTTCAGGAAAACTCCTGACTTTTAGTATCTTTTTATACCTTTTGAACTTTTTGGCTGTTTTGGGACCCTGTATTTTTGTGAATTTTGGCTTGTTATATATTAAACAATTATGATTGCCAGAAATGACACTTTTAGAATATGCAGATATGCATTTCGTTAAGACATCTGTTTTTGTTCAGATTCAGTCTTAAAAATAAGGCACACAAATTTTTTAATTTAGACGTGCGACCTTATATGGTAAAACAAGGACGAAATATAAGGAACAGTGGCCAGAAAACACGGCAGGCAAACAATAAAGATTGAAATTTTAGGTGTTTACTGAGAGAACACATGAAACCCTCTTGAAAATTTATCCGATGAGACGGAGTAGCTGTGCGTTTACCCCATTTCTCCAGTCCGCTTACCTTATAAAGACGTATGCCTTTTAGGCCCTGCCTAATTATGGAGCTCTTTATAATCTCGTCTCCTTTAATCAGTTCCCCGCATCGTGCAGGATTTTATCCTGGCATTACGATTATTTGGGCGAGTATCATGACAGCCAGCCACGGACAAACAATGTCCGACATTTGATCATCTTAACAAATCTAAACGTTTATGGGTAGATTCGTAGCTCCGATGGCAGCAGTTAGACTTGTCGTAAATCAACAGTGTTTATCTGCTGAAGTACTCTGGAATTTATTATAATCTGATAAAAAGTATAAGCGTTCACGGTAGGTGTCTTATAAAACTATGCTAATTTAATTACTTTGAAACGGCAGTAGATAATAAGAAAAACTATTGTATATTATGGTTTAAGTACGTTAATGAAAAAAAAGGTGTAAAAAAACTCCTATGATCTAAGCAATCCCAGTACTTCTGCGAATAATTTATCGCCATATTAAACTTAACATGGTTTATCCACACAAAAAAACAAATTATAATTCTAGATATGTGTCGTGGCAGATTTATTTCCTGACGCATGACGGCAAACTGCGTCGGCACATGACGGCAAACTTCTCTACGTCATCACGTAGTGCCTTTCGTGTTCTAACGGGTTTTGTCCAAATAAAAAGTAATAATGTTTCTATCACTAAAGGGGTCAAAGTGGCGTAAATGTCTATAGACCGATTGTGACATTCTCAGGCGAACCAAACTGTAATGCTTGTGGAACAGCTGACGACAACAACCGCACCATTTACATATATATAGATATATATATATATATATATACATAGAGTGCTCGCTATCAAAGCAAAGCGTCTGTGCACACTAGTGTATTTATCTAGCTTTTACCACCAATAACGATACGATGGTAACAGTTATGATGATCCTAACAGCACTAATAAACAAAATGAAGTAGCAAAGCCGATATGTTCCGCACACCGAAACGCCTGTATATATGGGGTTTGTAGGGAAGCCGTTTACAAACGTCTGGCCGCCCTACTGTGGTCACTGGATTAGCAGGTGAGACTAATTAGAGAACGACACATCGTATTGGGGTACCATATGCTAAAAAACTGTAGTACATACGCGGAAACGTATATTGTGAGGAGCAGTTCTGGTCCAACGATGGCCGACAGACAGACAACCATTGATAATCTATATTCCTAAACCATCCAACAAAGAAATGTAGGAGAACGAGTTCCGACAATTTGCATTGTAGGAAAAAACTTGCTGTATTAACAGTATGCCATCTATTGGATCCTAGTCGCTTCTCAGTTAGGTATACAATGCATGGTAACATCATTTTTTGGACAAGACTTCCGCAACCCGCCGTTGGTTAGCAAATGCTAGTTTTGACAAAATGGTGCGAGCGAGATGTATTCCTACGAGCATCACAACAACCTACGTCGATTGTGAATTCGATATTACCAATGAGCATTACTAATTTCGTTCTTGCGCGATCAACACGCAAGGATATTGTGGCCAGCTTCATCATACCATGATAGTCAGTCAGATCAGTCATATCGTCAACATAGACGACTTGCTACGTAAACGAGCAATATTTTATCGACGATAGCTATATAAACGTTGTGTTGGCGATAAAATATTTTGGAATCAAAACGGCGGCATACCGCGTCAAACACACGAGTTTTTAAGGATCTGTATAGAGTAAGATAACAATAGTGAACAGAATCAATTGACACTATAACCCGCGTGTGGCCAGCAAATAGGTTATTTTGCCTACATAGGAAATAGGATTTGCCGCACCGTAATTCGTTATACTGCCCAAACAATTCTAATAATACCTATTATGTATAGAACAGTATCGCAGCAATTGAGACCGTTACCGCAAATATTAGGCTGTTATAAGTGAATCCAGTGGACTTTCAGATTGAATAACTTTTAAATTGTGTGCCCCTTGCAGGTGGATTTTAGCTGATAAATATTCCAGCCTTTTAGATTTAAATAAAAACCGGTTCACCGTCTACCGTCAACCGTCTACTTCAGAAGAAATGAGTTTAGACGGGAGAACACCTTTTAATCTCGAACGTCAACGCTTCATGGTCAAGTTTTCGTTTCGAAAGTGGTAAAAACATCAGGCAAGGCACGCTGTGCGAATGGTACAAACGTTTCAGGAACATGGGCTGAAATGTTGAAGGTTAACGAGGAGGTGACCAGATGTCGGAACTTTAGCGGCGTGAACGTATTGCCGCAATCGAGCAGGCTTTTCACGATAGCAGAGCTTAAAGTCTAAGGAGTTGTCAGCCAAAACTAGCAGCTCACACGTAACGTGTTATAGCCCAAAACACGGCAACTGAATAATAAATGGCTCTTCCGTTAATCGATTCCAGATCAATTGGAAATGTATGCGACGTATTCCAGGCGCAAAAAAATTCGCCTGGAGCATACTGTCACCATCGACGAGATTTGGCTCAGTCTTTATCGGCAGCCAGAGAGGGACCAGGCGTATGAGCGGCGGCGTTGTCCTATAGAGAAATCAAGTTCGATGGCAATGTTGAGTAAATTCGGTAGTATTCGCAACAGATATTGGGGGCATCTTCTATGTAGGATACTCGCCGAAAGTGAAACGATGAATGCAGCCCCCTATCTCGAGTTCCTCGAGAAAAAGAAATTGTTAGCACAGCAATAGAAAGCACGCCGTCTGGTTGCTTAATGACAATGCCAAATCTCATCGTCATGCTCAATTACTTCCTAAACTGAGCAAAGGAATATTTAACGTTTAATATTTAAGCAACTTATTCTCCCGATTTAACTTCGAGTGATTGCGGAGCTTTCCATGCCCTATAAAATGCAACCGGTGGGCAAGCATAACCTACTATCGATTTATTTTGGGAAGCCATAGATAGAGAGACCAAATACGAGAATATGGTACATGGCTGCTCAAAGGCTGCCCGAGTACTGACACAGTTATGTAAAAATATAGGCGAGTATCTATAAAAAAAATCATCATTTTAATTTAAACTTCAGATTCGTTTGTCACAGCCTAATATAGTAGAAATCAAGTTATTCTCTAGAGGTACGTTTGCTTACTAAGGAACGAATGCACATAGTTTTCAATAAAAATACCAGTGTTTGCAAAGCGATTTCAACTATATGATTTAAATTTATCATAATACTAATAGTTGTATGTGGGGCGTACGGATTCAGTTTTGATTTGCTCTCAATGATGCAGAAGCCAATTAATTCTATTCGTTTCAGGACGAAAGGGCCGTTGTTAAAAGCATACAAACAACTAGCCTGATATAACTTGCGTGGGTTGCCCAATTCTTTTTATGGAGATACCATATCGAAGGCTGGGTCACTTTATATACAGCACACCCTTTCCTCTTATGCGCTGTTCAAATAAGGAAAAATGTTCGTCTTCGGTAGATACACAAAACACTGCTTTAAACCGGCCTGGTTGTAGCCTTTGCGCTTTGAAGAAGTGATCAGATAATAACAACGGACAGCTAAACTAGCCTAACGAGAAGAAGAACGCAAAATACGACGCGATGCTCAGAAGCTTACGATAAAAAGCCGTGAAAATCGTACTGTTGTACCGAGTCAAATGTATCCATTCGGGCTTCGGATTTTGTTAATAATGTATTTACTGTGAACTGAAGTGGTAAACGAAGCAAAAACAACATACCCAGATCCGACTTTGGAAAGAAGCGTATATCGAGTTTCTGGATCTCCCTGATCAACGGCGTCTCGAAGTCTCTGAATCGCCTCTTCATCTGACATGGCCTGACGCTTCTTTGGTCGAAGCGTCGGTTTTGTTCGCTCGACTCCGCCCGTTACCGTCACGTTTACCTGGTTTTCATTTACCTTAAAAATAATATTTGAGCTATTCAACGAGTTCGTTCATATCGAGCACGGCATTTTGTACTGTGACTGGCTACAAATTCAACCTGTTTCCGATATCGATTCTTAGGTTTGATCCATCACAACTAAAATATTTCGTCTTAAGATTTTTGATTGCGTCTGAACTAACTAATCTAGATTGCTGTGCATTCAAATGAATCTTCATTCTGGATCTTATCGTGCATTTTATATAGAATCGTTATATATGACTTACTGTTGTTTTTCGAAACTATCAGTCGATCCGTGCGTTATGGAGCACCTATCCACCCAGATTACCTTAACAGCTTCATGAAAAATTTAAAAAAAAAAAAAAAAAACGACTGGCTCCATGGTTCGTTATGACTAGCATCGGTTTCGAGGGACAATGGATTCTCTTGAAGTCTTTATTATTTCATCCTCGAAATTTGTTGTTATAGGCCATTTTAGCCTAGCTAGGTCACATGAGCTTATCCTTCGCACAGGTATTGGCATAACTCGTTGTTCACTGCGCGAAATACGTTTTATTGTACGTCGTATAGACACTAGGCAGATTGCATTGACGCTAGACACATTACAGCATTAAATCCTGAAGCAAGACTTGTAATTAATGACAATTAAGAACAAATCAATAAATAATAGTTAGCAAGATCTGAGCAATAGTTACAAGTGCTACGGCCAGTAAAATTTCAATTTAGTAATGCTTGCATAATTGTTTTTCTCAATCATTGAACGGGCATGTTTGAAACAGTAAATCATCTCATCGCCTAATTTTATTTTTATGGCTTAATTTTGTCGCAATAATCATGGTGATGAAGATGGACGGACTGGTACAGCATTGATAGTATCTGCTAGGACTATTCGATAGAGTTCGCTACACATCTACTGGGTCAAAAAATGATCGAAAAATGGGTTTCGTTTCCATCGGTTCAGTTGGCGTTTTCAAGCTAGTTTCCGTCAGATCCAATCGGCATGTGTCACCATTTCTCAAATCTTGCTGAAACAGTTTTCTAGCTCAATCGTGGAAACATATTTCAGTCCTTGTTTTCGTTTATTTTGTCTCAAAGCCTTTTTCTCTCTCGAAGAAAACAGAAAAACTAGTACAATGAACCAAGTTTGGCGAATACGAGGTTTAGGGCACGCAGACATCTAGTCTCTGTTAAAGCATTTTACAGATAGCGCTGTGTGGGCCTGTACATAAAAACCGATACTTGTTCTTTCAGAACTGATACCGACTTCAGCGAACAACATTGCGCAAGCTTTTCGCTCCTTATTGATTTGGAATTGCTCGGGATGACTTCAAATGCGCTAGCTCTAGTAGTCAGACAAGACCGCACAAAAGAACTTAGCTTTTTATTCGGATCTTGCAGCTCTCTTCGATTTAAGACACACTCAGACGATTGGGTTTTGAGCCCCACGCCATATCCACAAAACTAGGTCTTGTTTGCTATGACCACGCAAGTCCATCTTATTTGTGATTGCGTTAAAGTTGTTGAGGGCTCCATATTTGTTTGAGATCAAAGTTCTGGTGCAGAACGTTCGCTTTAAGCCGTTTAGTCTCGAAATAAGCTCTAAGAATGGTCCGATATGGCTAGTGTACTAATCTTGCGCGAGCTTCCTGAGGATGATGTGGCGATTTCTTAGCACGGACTTGTTTGGTTTTTTCATGTTATCATCTATACCCGTTGCAGCAGGTTGCTCAAAGCGAGGTTTGTCTCCAGATATCTGCCGTCCATCGAGAAGCCGTTTGTACCATTTGTGCACTGGCTTAAAACTCACCTATAACCTGGTCAGCAGAAGTTCTCATATATATATATATATATACACTTCCATGCGTGTATCTGCATATATGTTTGCGTAGACATTTAGAGTCTCTCGGACTGCCACATTCTGCTGCCAATATATATCAGCGATCGATGGTGGCAGTAATTTTGTGATCAAAACATAACAGCAATAGCGTTCGTCTCTCTGGCCAACGATCCGCAATCTACGAGGCCATGGCACCCGGCGAAGGTTAAGAATATTGATAGTCCGAACGGTGTCATAGAAAAATTCCAGAGGATCTAAACCAGTTTTAAGATTGCCGGCTGGTCATGGTTAGCTTGAGTTAGCACAGCCATCGCCCAGCGCAGCTTCCATCCGTTCCCATAGCGCTGATGTTGTATTAATTTTGCTTTAGTGCATTTTCTCCCTCTTCCCCAGCCTCTCAATCTTTTCGACCCACGGCGACGCGGAGCTGACAAATACAACTGTATCGCACAGGAACGGTACGAAAGTTCACCGCAAATGACGCGGCAGTACCAACGAATAACATGATGGATATATGAGCATATCGCCGTCATCACCAACAGCGTGTTCCTGACATTATTATTATTACCATGAAGATTACGTGACACTCAAACGGAGGCGATGAGGAGGTTGTAGTGATGCGGCAGCAGCGTGTCAACATCCCGGAACCGCGACCAACAAAGAAGTGAAACTCTATGGAGACAAACAGGGTTTGCTGAGCCATTCATTGGTTGCTGACTGCTTGACGTCTGCTTTATGTCAGAAGGGATGCGTGTAGCAGGGACAATAAGCCACGAGGAAACATTCGCCAAGCTAGGGGAAAAAACGCACGGTAATATGCGCGACAATGTGCGGGTAATCATTTAAAACAACCTTATCCTGCAGTCCATAGCGTGAGCTTTTGGTAGATTGGCATATCTATTTATTGCTATTCGAAGAAGCTAAAACAGACGCAGATTGATATCGCACATTATTTAACGCGATTCCCTGACGCAGTCAACTCAACTCAAAAGTGTGTGTGTGTGTGTGTGTGTGTGTGTGTGCGTCGCTTTCGAGAAAAACACAATTTAATATTTCTCACGAGCAGTTAAAACAAGTGAAAAACAACAGTCCACCATTTATAAGACTTGTTCTAAATCGATACAAAATGCCCCAGGTATGTCCTGAACAGCTAGGAACTAACTGGCTGGTCCATGTAGATTAATCTCTGCATTCGTTCGTTCTCAATTTCTACGGAAACGAAAACCTTATGGTCACCCAAGCGGTACGCTCCTCTAAAAAGCTATCAGTTAATGTTACACGCTTCATGCCAAGACGTGACTAAAATAAACTTTAATCCGGCGTAATTCATCAAGTTCATTGAACCGCTAACTGTGAACGCTACTTTTTAGTTTATAAAAACCAGTACTATGACCGCCGGAAGATCCCGGTTCTTTTTTTGACCCATGTGGGATAAGTAATTCTTCTTGTAAATAAGAATATATAGATACAGATATTCACATTATGCAGGTTTGCTCATGTTTTCTAGTCAATTACAGCTGCCTTCAACAGAAGAATGGCAAAAGATTACCCTAAAGCTATACCCGTATAGACTCGAAGGTATTCGTTTATACGCCATAGTAAAAATGAACGAATTACTATCATTGATCGCTTCTACCCGTCACATCGCTACTAATCGAACAATTAGCGTTCGCTTATGTAACGCAAAGTCAGTCATTAATCTGTTAACTATCAATAATAACAGGCAACAAACAGTAGTAATGATAAAAATAACACAGCAGAGAAATGCCTGGGCCTCTGAACCACGTATGCAACACTCCTCTCGTTGCTTTCACAGTTGTAGTATGAACATAGTTTAATCCGGTAAACGAGGTGCAAGCATCGACTCTTTACACAGTTTCCACTTTCTGCCATAGCGTCGCCCGCAAAGGTCCTGGGCATCTTGACTGCTGCTGCTCCAGCGTCCATAAGCCCAAATTCGATGACGCTTATTATGGCCAGTCCCCTTTAGCCATCTAGACCTCTCAGACCTCCAACTCGCAGCGAGTGGCAGAAAACGCACACATGAACAAAAGTATATTAATGTATAATAAGTGCGTCTGTCTCTCTGTGGTTGCGCCTGAAGGCACCGACGACAAATCGCTTTCGGCAGTTGTCACAGTGGGCAAAGCTCGCCCGCCTCTTACGTTCAGGCAACGACCAACGCGAATGGTAAATCGTAAAACTAACGTGGTACCAATTAAATAAACAGCTTGCGATAAAGCGAACGATGAAAATGTATGATCCGACACCTTCAAGAATTTTTCCTCTCGTGCAAACATCGAAACAATGAGTTGACTTTAGCGACAAACAGCGAACCTATAAACATCTGTTAAGGAATAGGACACCTGAAAAAAGGAATTATAAAGAACGCGATGATGATTCAATACTGACCTTGTGATTAAAGGAGACACTGAGGTCTAGTTTGACTTTAAAAACCACATCAGTTCTTATTGTGCTACAGATCCAAGTAGCATAATGTCAATCGCATATAAAGCTGTCTTTAAATTAGGACGGGACAAACACTGAAAAAATAGCTATTTAATCCTTAAGCTGGTTACGTACCCTTTAGTCAAAACAATGAATTTATACTCGGATTGATTACATTCAATCGCCAAAACGGCTGTTCATTTTTAGCAGGAAGAGAAGTTCGTTCTACACACGAGTGTATCAGATCTTTCTATGCTTTTCGACTACATAACATCTTGCTATTCAAGCAGCGAAACATCTGCTCCCGGATGGCTTATGTGTTGATTTTCTTCAGTTCTTTTTTTCAACTGAGTTCCCATTGCTGGAAATTTTAGACACATCGCAGCTCTCCTACCAAACTTTCCTGATAAGGCAAGCGTGACACAAGGCACATATCTTTCGCCACGACCATGCACGATCGAGAAGTGAAGTTTGGGAAGGATACGGCGACCCAATTACTTGTCAACGACCGTAACTGGGATTTATGGCTAGTCCCTATCAGAGGATGTTTACGCCTAGTCACACTGCCTGTATATGCTGTACAGTAAAGCTGCGGTGCCTCGGGACCACGAAAGAGTTCTTGCGCCTGACCACAGAGAACTACCTCTCCGTTATTTCAAAAAACTTCCAAATCCTGTTATGCGCCATTATGTACCTACTAATTTCTGTATAGTGGTGCTTCAGAGATACTTCTAGCAAAAGACAGTCACAGACAGGCATGCGGCCGAAACATCTATCGGAAGTTGATATCATCCAGAAGTTCTTTGGCATCGAGGACTAGAATTTGGCCCCTGTAAGGCCAGACGGAAAAATTGTATGGATTCATATGTTTTTGTTTATGCATAAATAAATAGTTCGAAACGTATGGGGGGAACATTTGGACGGTCTCAAATGTTTTCGGATTTGTTGTTTGTTTACACCTATGCTATCATGCCACGAAAAGCTCAACCTCAGCCTCAATACACAGGCCGATAGATATCGGTATGTAGAACTCTATTATTCATGTGCTGTACGCAGTTAGCAATCGCCATTGATGCGGAGAGACGTTTAAGGTTGTCACAAATGCAACATGGGAATTCGGTCGGTGTATGGATGCAGTCTGGTGATAGACGTAAAAATGGCCCGTGCCATCTTAAGATAACTGTTCCCGAATGCAGCAAATTCCCGAGCTTATTTTCGGCTGTGAGTTTGACATGGACAATCTTTAGGTGCTATGTGCCCTTCGTCAGAATTCCACTTTCTTTTGTCTATCATTACGACACATTCGTTGCTATTTTTCGTTTTACTCGATTGCCAATCGAATCTATTGACAGTTTTTTCTACGACAACGGCAGTTTTTTTTCCATCTGATAAATGGTTAACAGAGAATCGAAAAGAAAAATCAGATACATGGAGCCGCTATAAATTAGATTTTTACTTCGATAAAGAACGAAGACGCTGCATTTAGGAGTATCCACTGACCATGAGTTATTGGGTGAAACTCACAGAGGTTTATTCTATTTCCAAAATTTCGTCTGCGTATATATATATACGTTTGCCCATATCTTTTCAACTAGGTACGCGAAAATAGTGCCTATTAGTTTTCTAAGTTAGCTAATGATATCTCGAAATAAGTGCATAATGGCCCCGTCCTCAATCTTTGTCAAACTCGATGTGAGCAGATAAATTTCGTATATTCCATGAACGGGATATCACGCCAACTTCTTGATTGCCATGAGAAATAATATGTATGCATGGTCCGATAGAGGCATATTTATATGGTCTAAAGCGGAATAGACTGAGCAGCTATAGAAGCGATAGCCTATTGACCTCTCGGATCTCTGTATCAATGAAGCTCGATTTACATAACGGATACCGATAACCGGCTAGGTGTCGTTCACATACATCTCTTTCTATTCGTACGAGTAGTGCGAACGATGTTTTTATTTTTATTCCCCTCATTTGAAGTCAGAAACTTGTTAACTACGTCCGTTTTATGCTACTTGTGATAATAGAGTATGCAATGCTATAACTGCTCTAATCCAACGCATGCTATAAACCTACGATAAAATGTCAATTCATTTAAAAATTAAGACTACAAGGACGCATGTATTACTAACATACCTTATCGAGATCAGGTGGTGAGTCCTTTTTGAAGTCCTTATCACGCGGTCTCCGCGAAGGCGGTGTGAGTGGCTTAACATTGTCGTATACGGGTAATTCTTTGACGACCGTTCGTTTGAGGGGTTTTGGTGTTCCCTACAGCCGATAAGGAAGAGATGGCATTTGATTAGTCCAGTTAACCTATTAGACATTAACAATCAATCTTCAATGTAATAATTAGTGCACAAATTGCTTCACGACACAACTTAATCACATATAAGTGTTGGGAAGATCTGAACTACATCATTATCTATTGAGACAGCTTAACGTATGACGATTCTAATGCGAACGATACTCTCTGATTTGTCGGCTGCCACAAAGTGTTAGATATAACTCTCTGTGACGAAAAAAACGAATTCTAAGATCTGATTAACAGCTATTATTGTTGAAATTTGTTCTTTTTAGATCCGGATAGGTCTTATACAGTACTAGTAACAAAGGCTTAAAAGCTTCTTAGCCTCTCGATCCGTACCAATAGCTATCGTGACCTATGAAGCAGAGGTTTATTTCCGCTGAAAGAAGAATCAATCCGACCTTTTAAACGGATGACAAATAGCACCAGCTCTCTATTTCATCTTAGAGCAGGCTTCAAACACAAAAAGATACCGAATCCGAGGAGGAAAAGGATTTCCAGCATGTGCTGAGATTCGTATATTAAGTTTTGCGTTCATTTGTCTAACTATATCAGCTAATTTATATTCTTCCCGTTTTTGCAACAAAAAGTCGATTTCGAAATATATCTTACTGTTCAGGTAGTCCTATGATGTGATGTTTTCTGAATTTTGCCGAACTTATCCAAGTAATAGTAAGAATAATTAGTTACATATAATAATAACGTATATGCGTCACTAGAGAAATAGTGCGTAAATTACTGGAACGCATCCAGTCATTCATATGTACGCAGAGATTTAGCGATAAAATAACACCGGCTGCTAGTTACGATCGTCAGCGAAAGCAGCTGTAGTACTACGATTCATTTGTTGACACCCACTGAGTGCAGCACTCAGGACAGGTCCGAAATATAGCACTGTATGGCATTAAGGTAATGCTATGCATAATATTAGACAAGGACAATTAATTGATCTATGAATAAAATACACCCGTAACTCGTTTCGCTAACAGGCCAACAAAACTAATAAAAAAAAAATCAATAAAAAAAAGAGAGACTGTTCTGAATAAAATGCTCTTGTCATTTCTTCAAAAGAATCTTCTAAAAAAATCTTCCTCAAAAAACAAATCTTAAACTATGCACAATATACCATATACAGGAATGAAAAGTCAAATCAGTTCTTCCAAATCGCTGGTCAAATCAGGCGTCGACCGAACAACTTTTACGTGGGAAGCAAAATTTCTGGCCGTTAATCCGTTACGACGGGCTTCAGATTTCCGATTCCTCGAGAAGTCCTCGACCGCGTGCAGCCTTCATACGCCTTACACTCTTCTTATTTTTTCACACTGGAATTTAACCAAGAAAAAAATAACGACGGCCAATAGCGAGAGTAGACAAACTCTATGGAAGCTAGGTCATGTCCGTTATGGTGATGACCATCTCGACTATGCATCGTTGTTCCGATAGCCGCTCCCGGCTATTCAATTCATCAAGTTGGTTCCAGTTAAAGACTGCGAGCAGCTAATTGGTTAACCCAGCGCACTGCTGATTGGGTTTGGGCAACTGTACGTTGGCGCAGTTAAGCTAATACTAGGTAGATAGATTTTAAAATAGAATAGTTGGAAGCTCTATACATTAGTAAAATCTGCTTGTTAAGAATCGACAGGATTGGGTACCATGTGCTAAAATGTCGCGCCCACGACGGTCAATGGAAATCCACCCATTTGGTTTACAGGTTTAAATGGTTAATTATAAGACAATTAACAGTTCAAAGAAATGCCATTTCCATTTAACGACACCGAAATATCCATGACGAATTGCTTATTATCCGTTTCGAAAATATCCTCGGGAGCATAGCGAAAGCGAGAGCTGTAGAAGAGTCCGAATTTCCCAGATACCACGAAATCCAAATGGTCCGAGATCAGGTCTAAATGTTTTGTTTTCGGTTGGGGCCCGACTTGTGAATGGCCTTGAATCGTTGGCAGAATTGATTTGTTAGCCAGGCCAGGATCAAAGACATCTGTTTCGATTTGACATCTCGAAATGGGGCCACATCATTATAGATGACACTATTTTTCTGCAATGAAGTCGTTCACAAAATCTGCAATTGTATCAAAGCAGTTTGGCATCAAAGAGCTACCTAAGAGTAGTCTAGATACTAGTCTGGTCTCAAAAGTAAGGCCATTTCGCACTACCATGCTTTGTCAGCATGTACAGCTTAACATATTGCCGCAAGAAGGTAATCTAGGTGATTCTGTTCTGTACGCCTTATATTCTATTAATACCACAAGACTGATTACTTGTATTAGGTTGTACCGGCGGGTGCAAAGAGAACGAGATACACAGCAACCTAAATAGAGTCGTTGATAGCACCGTTGATATCCTGGATCACATACACCTACACAGCCACGCAAGGACTGAACGCATCTTATTTTGTATTAGTTTTGAATCGAAAAAAAAAATATGTATTCCTGTGATATATTCGACTATAATATATTGCGATGCACTCTAGCCATAAAATTTTCTAAACACTTTGACCGATATGGTCGTATCTAACAACCGAATGAAGCAGTGGAAGTATTTCCGTGACCTAGCAGATACGTTAACAATGAAATACTCATCGGCGTACATCAAATCCAGGTTGAAATGTCCAGATGAACTCAGTCTTTACCAATGAATCCGCAGCCTTCCACACCATTATGGCATCTTAAGGTGAGAACCGCATCGGAAAGCAAGTAAGCTCTCCTAATATGCGCGACAGGCGATGTACAAATGCTTCCTTGTTCAGAGTCACTGTATGAAATATTCTAACATCTACATTTTTCATTAACCATATACGAGCACGTATCTGCATACACTCTTTCTATAGGCCAGTCTTCACACAACCGTAAAACTGTTCCAGAACTGCCGCCAGTTCTCTGTTTAGCGCGTGTATTATCCCTATTAACCGTATAATAAGCTTTGGTAGAACAAATTAGAAAGAGGCTTCTTTTTCCATTTGCAGCCTCATTCGAGCAGCGCATAACTGACCTCGTTGGGTACCAATCGCTGAATTGATTGCCTTCCGTGGTCAAGAGATTTCAACTACACAACTACAAAAACCGTTACAACTATATGCGTTCTGCACGTCTGTACAATACACTAACGAATCCACTAACAGGGGTACTTTCATACTGTAGAAGTATGCCGAGTCGCCCACTTATGTGTGCCCTGTCATAATTGATCCAGCCAGCGTTCTGCTAATGTAGTCGTCCCGTTTCAGCTGCGGTTATGAGGTGGTGAAGCGGACGCCCGCCAAACGTAGTATTAGCACGAACTGCACGTCGTCATCGTCGCAGTCGGGCTATGATTGGTGCTGGTAGTAGGGCCGTTAAAACTGTTGATTTAACTCAACCCTTGCCACCACTATCCCGCTTTTAATGGGGGAGGAACCCATGACGGCCCACGTGCATCAACGCCAAAACAAGAATCGCTTGAACTAGCGATAAATTGGTGTCAAGATGATACGATATACAACAATATGCACGTCTACTATATATACATATATATATATATATATATATATATATATATATATATATATACATGCTTGACTACCCAACGATTGTTCCTGCTTGCCAGGGTACGGGAATATTCCCAAAAAGGCCTGCCCAGAAGCTACAGCTGAAGCAAGAGTTACGCTTGAGGCTAATGATAATTTTGCCAAGACTTTTGTTTTTAGCTTTGGAGTTCAAAATCATTCTAGCCTGTTCAAAACGAGAGCAAAATATGACTAAATGGAAACAAAAACGGATGTTAGTTTCAAACGTAACTCAAATCTGTCATGTAAACATTCGAAAGATGAACCCACGTACATTTCATAACCCATTAAGAAAAACATCACTTTCTGACATTTCATTTCGAACGGCCAAAAGTTCCGAGGTACGCCTACAGATTTATACATCAGGATACATATAGTATTGCTATCGCCGTATTCGTGATTATAAGCAAAGCGCAAACAGGCAATGTAGATGTTCCAAGTATGCACATAAGCTCTTTCCACATGAACGTTCACGTACGTATAGGACAGGTGCATGGGCTTCTATGTCCGAAAGTTGAATGTTTTGTGTCTGTCTTAAGCTAAAGGCTGATGAACGATAGCAGTGTAAACTTACTTAAACCCGTCAGAAGAATCCACTGACTTCATTTGTTGCCCAGCACATGTGAGTGCCAATGGCAATGATGGCGAACGGCAAAGCACGCTACACACAATTACACAGTCACGTAGCATAACACAACGTCATATGCCGCTGGCGACCTCGACATGAAGCTTTTTTAAGAAAATGTTTCCGGGAGAACTGAGTGAAAGGAATGCTCAACGCGACGATTGGTAAACCGATCAGTCTCGCCAACGACTACAAATGACAAAGCGGCTGACATGTCGCAGTGGAACATACATCGTAGAACGAAGGAATTCTAGCATTCGGTTGAATGCTGCGCAAAACCGTAGGACAATTTAAGTCGCCTTAGGCAATACAGTTCTGCAACAGTGTTATTTTTTACCATTCTTGATTAACATACAGAAGAAGTTCAGAATGAGCGAGAGACTACATGTTACCGATCCTTCTCTTTATACTCGATTGAATTTTTCATGGGAACGAGAGCCGTTCTTAATGTGGCCACCTGTGCTCAACTGTTAAGCACGCAAAGCTTGGCGAAGTGTGCCAAGCGATTTAATATCGTTCGTAAGTCAGAACTTTTACTCAATACTTTCGTCTGTTAAGAACTTATGCGTCTATGTAGACTTTGCAGAAGGTTACGACTTCGCCATCTTGAAGCGCCTATGCATTAGACAGACAAAAAAAACATCGATTCGAAATGAAAAAAATAGAAATAGAAATTTAGTTAACGAAAACTTCCTCTGTCAAGAAAATGGTAAGAGGCCAAATAGTGGATTTCAGGTATAAACATTTAGTAACAAGAGAGTCCTGTTTTGTTCCCAGCAAACCGAGCGGAACAGACTTTTCCAAACCTAAAAGACGCAAAAGAATCTCTAGTCAAATGAAATAGGAGCTGCTTTATAAGACGTCGTGGACATTTAAGATAGAATATCTTTACAAATGTATAAGTCTCATGTAAAAATCAAGTATATCAATTTACTGTAGTCTACAATTATGTTTTCTAACCATAAACATACATATATTTATCAAATCATACGGACTCTCAAATATGGTTACCCAGAAAAATATCGATGATTAACGCCTTCATTTTCGGACAGAAAGATAGCGCAGAAATATTTATAATCAAAGATTTAACCTCAGCAAACGCTCGTCTGCCAGACAGACCTTCACATACTCATCACTTGACCCGCAGAAGTTATTTGGTATAGTAGATCACACGATGATGTTTACAAAAAGACGCTACGCCTCTCAAGTTAAATTAAATATCCTTTTTATATGCGCTTCTGCACATAAGAGCTACACAGTCAACTTTTATGGTATAATTTATTTGATAGTATCCCGCATGTTTACTTAAGCTGAAGATGATATTTGTCTCGTGATTACGCGACTGCAATATATCCGATGCCTCACGGCAAACTTTTTCAAAAGCCTTTCTGCTCATGTATAACTATAATAATAATAATGCCCGCATCAATACGTACTACCGTTGTGTCCCTATAGCTCTATATGTCCAGGGTGTTTATCGGTTCATAATTTAATTATTGTTCTTTTTTCAGCATGTGCTTAATTGTAAAACATGACGAATAGATAAAGTAATACCAAAATTAATGTTTAAATAAAGAAAACTTAAATTTTATTGGAGAACTCTATTGGAAGTATGAAAATGAAACAGTGTAAAACAATGTCACGGAGAGTTTCAGGCGGATCCGTCTGCACGACTTATAATCGATCGAATAAAAAGTATATCTGGAACAGATGAAACTGTTCCGGATATGCATAGTCAACGTTCTGGAAGAACATGAATGAACAAGAACAATGATAAGCTCCACTAACCATTAGAAAAAAAAAAGAAACTTGACATCGACAAACGAGGCCTATTCCATTCTAAAGCGTTTTAAAAAAAAGGAAAAGTTAAGGAAAAGTTTATATTCCAACAACGATACATGCTATCAGTGAAGAAGCAATTTAACCAAGTACACCAAATGAAGTTTATAAATCAACAGTTCGCCATTATGAGCAATGTATTATATCAGACCGATAAGAAGTCTTCGGCAGAAAGAAGAATTATACATTGTTTGTAGATTGTCTCACAAATTAATTATGAATTATATATTATTGCTTCATATATGTAGTAACTTCTAGTTACTTAAACTATGTTAACATTTTTAGGACCCTTGTAACCATGTCATGGAAATAAGATTCGTTTGTGTGTTACGACATAACTATCGACGTTATTTGACCGGTAGTAATAATCTCAGTATGACCGATCAGCAGCATGAAGTAACCAAAACCATTAGTATTTTCTGTCGCGAGCATTCTTCTCCGGGAGACCTATTAAAAAAATATTCGCCACAGGAATCGGACAATAATTAGTTTTAATTTAGGAACTTACGTTACTCTGTTCACTGTTAGCGTGCTTTGGGGGAGGTGGTGGGGGTGGTCCATCATCATCTGTGTCTTCAAGACTTTGCTTCTTGAGGAACTTCGCTTTCGTCCCCGCGGCCGTATCCTTAATATTATGTTCGTAAAAGTCGAGAGCCTGAGCAAGTGCCTGCGGGTTAAGTTGTTGCTCGTTCTTCGAAATGTTGGCTTCACGCAGAAGACGTACCCACTCGGGAGGGAGTCCCTCGACAGCTCCCGAGGCAGGGTTGTACTTTACGTGAATGTCATGTGACACCTGAATAAAAAGTGCCAACAAGCATCAAATCTAATTGTTAGATATTCGAAAGATGGTTCAAGTTAGGTTATACAAGAAAGGTATTTTAAAAGTCTTATTAGGAGGTTTGGCCCTGTTTTGTATTACGCACATATTTTACTAAAAAAAATACGAAACCTCAGAAAAAGAGGGTTTTATACAATAGTATGATAAGTTACTAATAGATTAATACTAATAGACGACCGTTGTAAAAAATCCAATTGGTAATATAAAAGATAATCGATGAGCTCTATGAATGCGAGAGATGCACGTCAGCTATCGACGGCTTCAGTTGATGTCGTCATACACTATTCACCGTTGCCGCAGAAAGGCAAAGAAGGTAGGATTCAACTTGATCAGAAAAAAGAGAACAAAAGCGTTCTGTGAACGGGTCCCTGCTACCTCATCCATGCTCACTTCATTACGTCTGCTGACGATAAAGCTCCATGGATGACAACCAAAAAGCGTCGCCATGTGAAATAGTTGTGTCACTATGTAGAAAGAATACACCATATACATGTTTGACCATATATATATCGTAATTTCGAAATCCGAGAAAAATTAAAGGGATCTGAAAAAATGTCAATAATCAAACTGAAAATTAGTGATAAAACTAGCTACTCAGATTTTCTAAAGAGGTTGTGAAAAGCGACAATCGAAATCAGCTTTAACTGAATCAGTCATCGATTGTCCTTAAATTACAAAATATCTTTAGTACGTCTCCGTTGTTGAATGAATTCAAAAAACGAAAAAATTAGGTCTCTCTTGGCAATTTTTGTTCCTGTAGCTCAACAAGCTCGTCGGCGCATTAGCGCTTAGCATTTACAGACGTGTCGGCGTTCACTGTCATTTTCTCGAATCAAGCACAAAGAGTTTCTAAAATGACCAGAAATTTCGCGTGATAAACAATGATCACCATTTTAGGCATCCGTTAAAGCAATAATTACCTGCTGCCTACTGACACTTTGGCAAAGATAAGTATAAAACGAACCAATCGAACAAAGAAGACTTCTTGAACAATCGGAAGAAAAATGGATTGAGATGTGCTCTCCGAGCAAATAGGGCTAAAAATACACATATCTATTGCGTGTTTCTTTAAATATTTATTTATTATTCTTTGACTTGTGATAGCTTTGATTATTGTTACTCTTTTTGAGTATTGTGGAAGTATTATACAACGCCAGGTTACACCCTTCTGCTATTTAAGCAAAAATCGTCTGCTTTGCCCTACTGTATTTCGTCTTATGTGTTAACAAAGATTCGCCATCGTTTAGATAGATATACATTACGTTGACCGTTGAACGTCAGCGAACTTAAAAGTTCGTATTGGGCTGATGTTTATACTGGTTAGGCGACTTCAACAGAGGTCTGGTTTCCGCACGAAGCGGAAGTATAACAAGCTGAGGAAGCCTATGCCGTTTGAAGAAAGCACCACCAGCGACAAGGACATACCGCGAAATTTAGAATGTGAGCGCCTATTTATCAAATCAGAAATTACCTCGTATCAATCTAAAAATAGCGCGTTCGAGACAGTTCTGAGTAATTTTAAACGACCGATGTCGCTCTATACTAATGACAAAGAAAAATAGTTTGTAACTTCTACACATTTCTAGAACTACAAGTTACCTCTATGGGGATAGGTCCTACATCATCGAAATGCTGACAAATAATTAGCGAATGAATATTATTGTCACCCTTAGTCTACTATATATTTTGAATGAACAATATGGGTACAAGTCGAATGAAAATTAAGAAATCATTCAATATATTGACGTCTGTGTTAAATTGTCGTAACTTTGATAAATACGTATTGTTGTTTTAGTTGTATGCACCTTATACGGTGTTGAAATTGAGATGACATTATCTCCGCTGCTTCCGGTGTTTTTTTTGTTGCCGTTCGATGATGACCCAGATGACGAGTTAATGCCCAACTTCGAAAGTAAATTGTTCATCTTTTCTGAAATGCGACAGGTAACAAAACTGCTAACAGTTAGATAGAGCCAACGCAAAAAATCGATGAAGATGCGACAAGTATATATTCTTTGATATACTTCAACATGACTTTTAGTTGCAAATTTTATCCTACAGTATTCGGTGATCGATGCTCAAGTTTTATTATATTTTCGTAACATCTTTGGGCATTTTCACACACATTGCAGTACGAAACATACGCACTTTGTAGCAGCTGTACAGCAGTCGGGGCTGTTTTGTAAAAGAATCTATTGACGTATATCTGTTTGACTATTTTTCCTCGACTTCACAATGTCCCCAACGTCTGCACCATATGGCTTTGAGAAAAAAAAAAAAGTATGCAATATTTTCCGAAGAAAAAGTGTCTCGATGTTAGATTTACTATAACGGTATTTACCATTAGCTGGAAACTGAGTCAAACGCTTGCCCTAAAAAGCAAACCCTATTTTGCTGTTTCTCCTGACTCACAGTTCGCTAAAAAAGCACTAAATGAAACATATATATATTTTTTGTTTATTATTCCACTAATTGGTAAATATTATTCGATAAGAAACACCACACATCTACCGACACACGAAGATTTATGATAGTTATGTATAAATTATACCTGCTTTTACGCTTTAAGATGCTTAATATTTTAACGTAACAGGGTTTAAAATGGGTATGGCAACCGTAGCATGCCACCGTAACAATGCTCTAAGAATTAGTTGTCCTCCCAAATGTAAGGATAATTATTTTATTTAAATATTAATTTATTTAAGTCAGCTAGCCGTTTGACAGTGGTAAACTATACTGTTTCATGCAATAGATGGTCGACTGCAGTCACTTCGTCGACTTTTTTCTCTTAGCATTCCCATTCTAGCACACATCATCTACATCACAGTCATCTAGCACACAAACACAAATATAACGGAGCACAGAGTAACCACAGTGGACAATATAGCTACGAGACGCCAAATTCAGGTATTGAATAGGTCAGCAAGTGCCCGCCATATCTCTTCCGTTTTTTCCCTCACTCACTGTGTAACTGAGGTGATCACATTGGCACGTGGTATCGTTAAGGTTCAGTTGGTGTCATTACCGAGAGGGAAAACGAACAACAGACAGATAGCGTGGAGATATCTAAAACATTGAGCTACTCCTCTGAAGTGCTGGGAACTTTAACGTACCGCATAAACTTTTCGGACCCAGTAAAACGCTAGCGGTGGTCAGCTTGCTTAAATGCTATTTTAAATATCGGCATTTTGCAAATTGGATAATTGTACCAATCACACACTGTAATTACGGCATTTTTTTAAGCATAACAGATTTATTACAGTAATTTGTTATTTCTTGGTAAAGTTCATTGTATTTTAAGTCTTTACATGGCATCAACTTGCATAACGCTTTGTTGAGGAAGGAGCCACTTACTAACTCTAGTGCGCATGCTTACATACGTGACGACTCAGCCGGAGCAGACTTGGTTCGAAGACTGGTCAAAATGGTTGATGAATCTATGTTCGGAGGTGGGAAGCTGAAAATTTCCAACCTATGCATCGCTTCAAAAGTTTCACATGCAAGATGCCATCTTAGATGCCATCAATACTAGAGACTACAAAAAATTTAAGTAGCAAGTCAAACTGCAATTTCTCTATCGGATACTGAGGTTTCTGTTTTGTAGATTTGTATATATGAGCTCCATAAATAACCTTCGGTATCGAATGATCGAATTGAGTCATCTCAATTTGGACAATTTGCAGTGGAAAGCTTGCTTTTTTCGCGTGTGTAACGCAGCATACCTGTTACTTACATATACGTCTGAGTTATATGGTATGCATAAAACATTACTTCTCAAAACAATGTGGAATCAATGACACCTAGTTCATTTCCTTTTTCATATGCTAGGTGCAGTACGTGTCCTGCAGTCGTAAGTTGAGTGGTAGTGCTGAAAATGTCAAATCGTTTTAACTAGTTTCCAATATACAGGATCATATCCGCCCTCAGTTTCCTCCCTAAACTGTCATACTGATTTATTAACAGTACTTGTTGACAAATGCAATTAATCAACGTAATGCTTCGGTTTCCTAGTCACTGGAAGCCTTAACACAGCTTTTTTCTCGAACGAATCCACGCGTGTTCATGGGGGGCTCCTCTATAGTGTCAACACAACCGTTACCACCTCTCGAACTCGCTTTTAAGGCACTAATGTTAAACTTACGTGAGACTGACTAATGGGTTTGCCCTTCCCTTTTGAGTTGTCACTCACTAAGCTTTGATTGTTAGTCACCCCCCACCACCAAACTGTGAAGAAACCAATCGCAATGCAATGAGTACCATCTGCAAGAAAAAAGGTAGTACGTAGGATCTAGTGGCCTGCGACTTGTGAACTGTAACTACCCGTAACTACCTGGTGCCTGCTTTCTGATGCTTCCCGCTTCTGGGCATCTTTCGGAGAAGTCTCGTACGGCCCTGCTTCGAATCACGCAGCTGTTCGAGCTGTTTGTGGTGCTGCCGCTACAGCTGATGCTTGAAGGCACTGCCGCTAGCCAGCATTATTGCCTGTGTCCAGAGCCCGTGACATGGTCCTTTCTCCAAAAAACTTCAATGTCACTATTATATTTCCAGTTATAGTTTACAACGAGACCTCATTGGTGATATCGGTGAACGGTAAACGGCCTACTGCCGAGTCTACTGTCGTTGCCTAGCTATTAGGCCACTTTGCCGTCCGTAAGAAACCGCAGGAAAAAGGTAACAATCAAGAGCAGTTGCTATTGCTTCTGCAACTGCCGCCTTATGACTGTACGCTAGCCAATAGCTACTATTACATACTTGCCACCAAATACCGCGCGCGCACGTGAATCGCGTCGGGGGTCGAATGAGTGAGTAAGAGAAGTTACGCGACCCGGCAAGCGATCAACCATTCAGTTATCGATGGGCCAGCCGATTTTGGCCGATCCGCCTGTTTCACATAGCGACCAACTTCTAGTACATAGAACAAAATCATCCCAAGCAATAAACTCAACAGGTGTGTTGATAGACCTGTCTGCTTGTCCTCTTGTCTGCAGTAAACGACAGGCGCCATAAGACGCAAGTGAGCGACCCAAAACCTGTTCTGTTACTATTCACCCGTCAATGCTGTCGAGGACAGGTATGTTGATGATGATGATATTACTAATCCTGCTGCTGCTACTGCTGTTAACGAAAATGTTTGTTGTAATGGCGATTACAGAGTCGAGAGAAGGGGAAAGTACACCATCCAACCACTTCTAATACAATATTTGGTGCCAGAGGCCAACCCGTAGGCAACGAGGGCAAAGAGAAACAGCTATTACGTACAGTTAACCACGTCGATTTAAGCTATCCCGAGAAGACAGACGGAGGGACGGATAAGCAGACGAATAGCTGACAAGTCGATTTTCCCCAAGTCGAAATTACGTAATGACAACAACAACAACGACAGTGGAACTCCAAACGTTAGAGTAACAAATGCAGCAATAGTATCGCTAACGCCAATATGTCAGTGAGAAGATCATTGAGAATGTATTAGTGTGTATGTAATAATATGACACGAATTAACAGCGGTAAGATTGAATGTCCGGCCCATAATAATTGATGCTAGAATCTGCTAGATATCACCGCTCACATGTACATAGTACTTTGTGTATTTCGAGCTCCCGAAAAAGTAAACATTTCAATAGATTCAGTATAAATCGGCAGTTTGCGTAAATCCAACCATCATTGAGTCTAATGCCTCTCCAAATGGAGAAATCTATTGGGCACAGTAACGCACTTGACAAATGCAACATCAGAGATCAATGACGTGAGAAGCTTTCGATCAAAGTGATAATCCTAATTAAAATAAATGCCAAAATCTGACTACAATCTAGAATAAGTTCCGGGCTAAATTATCACTTTGGAGATCCGAAGACCTGGCTATCAAAGACACTCTCTTGACATTCACTTAATGTAAGTATATGCTGGATCTATTATACTACATAAATGATCGGCAAAGTATGCCGGTGTTAAACCAACTGTGCCATGTACGTAGAGCTAAACAATACGACAATTAGCCAATTGTATATTGTCGATATGGAAACCCACTTGTCATCAACGGAAATGAAATCCACAATGTACGTGCGTGCATGGTGCACGTATTGAAGCTGTAAAAGTTTTTCCCGAGGACGTGCTTCCGAAATACGTGTGTATGTATCACCTGTATTGGATGCGGCTCGATTTTTGCGTGACTCATCCGTATTACAGCTGTTAACTTAAAGCGATAGATGGCGCTATTCGCCGGTACTGTCACGCAATGCAATACTGTTATTAACGTGAAATGGCTGAAGTCAATCGAGCGTCAGCTCGCTAAATCGTCGATGGATCAGTATTTTATATTGACAAATCAAATAGACTGATTTATTGTAATTTGCTGTTTATCAACGTCTTCGATAGAAGGACAATATATTATTCATGCATCTAAAAAGAGGTCTGAGGGTAATTTTGTCATGTCTGTGTAATAAAGTGAACATGGCAGATACGACGCAACCTTACTCATTTGTGCAACCTTAAAAGCGTTTATGTGACAGCGGCGCACACGTTCAAGACGAAGTTAGGAGAACTACTTAGACTGCTGGAAAATACAATAAACATGTTACCGAAGGCGTTTAAAGCAACTCTGATCTTCGCTTAGAAAGGATCACGGTATGAATCCTTTCCAGTATACTCCAACGTTCCTTTAACCTCCTTATTCCCCTAACAGGTCTACAGCAATATTGAGATATCTTTCTTATTATATAAGTGAGAAAATTCACCGGAATTTATATCTTTAATATTAGAAAGGCCATTGGTAATGCGAACTTTTCGCAGTACCAAAAAGTTACCTAAACAAAATGGACTACACTTTTCTAGCAGCAGTATTCGAGCAGAATTGTCACTTTATTAAGGGAATTTATTAAGGAAAGTCTTATTTTTTCTCCGGTTTTCACCAAATGAACTGCTATATCTCAGCAA